CCTTGTAGATGTGACATTTTTCCTTTTACTGAGAAATGTCCTTTCTACAGCACATTTTACTCCCATTAAGTCAATATCAATATAAAGTGAGTTTTAAGTCTATTAAGAACAAAACGTGTTTAACTTTTTTTTAAACTGAATTGAGACGTGTTTTATTGAATCCATCTGCACACAACTAATACTGCTCATTATGAAATTCTCACAGCAATTTGTTCTTTTATGTTCAATATAAAGTGACTTAGTAAAGTTGAACAGGATATAAATTAACAGGATATAAATTAAATATTATAAAGTTAGACACACTGAATGATAAATATTCAGTGCTATTTTTACCTAATTGATTTGTGAGTGTGTTTCTGAAAATGGCCCACATCAAATAAGCCAGCGTGACCTGAAAGCCAAATAAAGGGTCTTGTTGCATTAACGGGGTCCGGCCCGATGTTGGTCGACCCAGAATTCCATTCCACCGCGAGTGGCGTACATCTGATTAGCAGCTGAAATACTTCCTCTGTTGTTGTTTTCTTCCTCAGCACAATTATTTCTCTCCCAGTTTAATGCAGTCGTTGTTTAAAGCCGCACTGTTCTGAGCTGTTCATTTGCTTGTTGGGCTGAGCTCCAGTGAGACAAACGAATGCATATTGCTGTGAGACTGGAGCAGTGAAAAGAGCCTATCAATGTCAACATTTCCAATGGTTATTATGTGTGTGCGTGTTTGTTGGTGTATCCTTAACTCCGGTGCTGTTCACATTCCTCCTGCGTCCCAGTGAAAAGCCCTCTGTTTATGTTGTTGACAGCGTTGCACACACAGACCCACTCACAAATTCCACTTGACAAAGCCCTGACACATATGAAGCTCAGGTGTGAGATAATGATTTGATTTGGGGTTGATGCTGGTGCTCTTAGGCCCCCTGTGTACAGACTTGGCTCCGCAATGTCATCCTGAGGAGAAACAAACACTCTGCAGAGGACAAGTGTGTTCCGATGGAATAATAGCCACTTAAATTGTGGTAACGCAAAACCTTTCCAATCATCCAGAGTTTTCGAGTGCTAAAGATAACGTTGTGGACATTCCCTACAGTACTTGAATTGGAAATCAAATTATTTTCTTCCTCGTTGTGATTCTAAAAGTAGATTTAACTGTAATTTAATGATAGAAATGTATAAATGACAGTGGCAGATGTGTATTCAGTGAGTTGCTTTGTTCTGTGGACTCATTAAGATCCACTGCTTTTTCTTCTTAGCTTTGATGGTTTCTGCTGCTTATCTCCAACCCAAAGTCTATTTTCCTCTTAGTGATGTGGTTGAGTAATGCTAATAAAGTTGTTGTTTTTTCTTCGCCTTTTCTAAGCCTGCCCCCTCTCCATTTGCTGGCCTGATCTGTCAGAAGCTGCTCTGCCATCACAGTCCCGTCCCCAGAGCGCCTTGTTGGACACCGAGAGAGATTTTTATGCCTTTTTCAAATTACCTTTAGGGCAATTCAAAATAGACTCAGATCACTCTGCTCATTTCTGTCTGCATCGCAATATGATGGATGGAAATGTTTAGAGGGCCTGACTATTCCTGGTGCACTGTGTGTCTGTGTGGTACAGAGTTATTTGTCAGGAGGGAGTATTTTGGTAGCAGGGCAGTTGCTGCAGAGAGCGCAGTGGGTTCTGTGGAGACAGGACGCCGTTTGTGTGCACTGACTCCACATGCATCACCATGACTGAAAGCTCTCTGAAACGAAGCCCCTATGACATGCGATTCCACTTAAAGTCTGAATGATGACGAGAAAAAACAGCAGACACAAATAAAATCAAACATAGTTGCAGTGATTTGGGTGGTATTTGCATGTAATGCAGACTGGTTGCATTCCTGCAGATGCAAGAAACAAAATCCCCCCTTTTTTTTCCCCACAGTGCACAGCTCTCCTTCTGCACATGTGCCTCCGGCTCATTGACAGAGGCCCACCAACCCTGTTACTGACACATCGAAGCCAGTTAGCTGGTTTACAGGAATGATGCATCGCAGAGACTACAGGCTGTGTTTTCATGTGTTTTGATTTGATTGGAAGTAAAAATTATCGTAAAGGATTGTATACGCTGAAAGTGGGATGTGGACAGAAGGGGCTCAGACTCGGACTAAATGCGACTGGTTGGATTATATTCATATTATTAGATCCAAGCACTGAAGTGGGATACATGTGAAGCAATATGAAATAAACCTGTTGTGTTTTTTTCTTCTGGTACATTCTTTTTTTATTTGCTGATATCCCTTGATTTACAAAGAATTTGATTTCTTGCTCCATAACTTTCCCATGGTAATCTTACTGCCCCGTTTACTTTGTGTATTTGGGATTTACCATCTTCTGTTAATCGTGTAGCTTTGCAGCATTTATTCTTTGTACTCTTATGCCACTGATTTATCCCACACTTCATTTTTTTGTAGTCATGCTTATGACCATCCTTTATCCTTTTCCTCATCTCTATTTTATCCCCATCTATCATTGTTGTCCCTTCCTCCGCCCATCTAATCTCTATTCTGCGGAGTGCGGGTCAGGTGTGGTTAGCCAGCAGGGCCCACCATCGGCTTGATGGTCAGGTTTTCCCGTCCTGCTGTTTTTTTTTATTTACATTAGTGTGTGTAGTCACACACTTATAGGGAATGTAGCTCAGAAACTGTGACCTCAGCGCTTAAAGACTGAGAGACGGATAAACTCCTTGGTAATTGGGGCAGAATAGCACCAGCAGACAAGATTCCCTGTTCTTTTTATGAACTTCAAACCCGCTTTGTTGACTCCTCTGAATTGAGACTGCGGGATTAAAGTATGTCGGCGCGGTTCTCAAACATAAAAAAAGGATTGCATCAGACAGGGATTCAAAAATGATCCATTGTGATTTTGGACTGAACCTCACCATGGCAACAGAGTGTAGATACCCTTGCAAATGAAAAATGAGAGGTGGTAAGACTGACACGTACACATCCATGGATGTGTACTGTAAAACTGTAAATCGCTGGATTGTTGTTTTTTTTGTTTTTTTAGGGCTTTATGGGACAAGATAAGAGAAGATTGAGCGGGTGTACAGAGGAAAGCCTCAGCAACGCTGATAAATTGGAACGGGAGGAGTAGATTAATTGTTTGCATGTGTAGAGGAAATGCAGAGTTATTTAAGTCCTTGAAAAAGATTTTGCTGAGCAGACTGAGATATAGATGTAGAGGGAATTGAATTGGGGCAGTGAAACACTCGGTTCATCTGCAGATTTCTATTAAATGATCTAATATCATTATATTCAATCACAGGGAACTTAGAAACTTTTCCCGTCTGTGATCTGAAAATGCTCCTCTTTTTCACTTATTCCTTCGCTTCTCATTTTTTGCAGGTGTCACACTTTCTGCAAGTAGAGGCTTTGTATAAAGTGGAGGCTTTGTGGATCTTAGATGTTACAGATCAGTGCCATGTCAGCAGCACATCAGGACTTTTGTGTTTCCTGACCTTGTACTGGCCGGTCCTCCCGGAGCCTGGGGAGATCGGCGTTGTGTGCTCAGAACCTGCGGGGGGAATGCGTGAGAAAAGGTTTGCTTGGTGTTATCCTAAGAAAAAGACTCAGCCAAAGTGAGAATACAGTTTCTCCACCTGGGCTGTATCCCACAGCATGAGCTGCTGTGTGCCTGCCTGCTTACACACTTTCTTGATCTAGGTTTATTTGTGAGTTATCTGCTTCAGCAAGGCTGAAAGGACGAGAAGATTTCTGTTATTGTAGTCTGCTCTTTGGCTCAGAATGCATGCCTGTGCATACGTGTGTGTGTCTGTCTGTTGGCTTAACTAAAGATCTGTACGTACATGAGAAAAAGTTGTGATCATTTCCAGGATTATATATGAAAACAGAAATAAAAAGAATGAAGGAAAATCTTTTAAAAAAAGGAGCCTGTCAAATAGTCCTTCACATGCTTTTTGCAGACTTGAAAAAGTTGTCATTTTGATTGACCACAAATGATGCTTGTGCTTGCTGGGTTTCACAGTCCGCTGATGAGGAGATTATTCTTTATCAGTCGTTGACAGTTCTGATTGGTATTGATGAATTTGCAACCCAAAAAGGTATTTTCACATTCCTGTTTGAAATACTTACGGTGGAAAATTAAGTGGATGTGTTCCAAGTTTAAAGATTCAGTCATTATAAAGTTCTTTCAAAACAAGCCTGAAAGCCTCTGAATGCAGCCAGTCAGTTGATGCGATGCTGAGGCATTGCACCAGTGTTGTTGTGATACTGAAAGCAAAGCAGTAATGAGGTACTTTTTGGCCGGCGTCAGCCCATGCCACTTCTAAGACACATCATAGATAACTGTGCTTTTAGTTTTGATACATCTGATACTCTGTTTTCTTAACGTCTGACTGGAACTGACATGCGGAGTGCTGAATCTGTGAGAAATTCCCTCCAAAGATGTTTTCATGCTGTCAGCTTGGCAGTGCATCTCCGAGCAGCACAGCAGACGTGCACAGAGGATCCATCGGCTCCGTTCACCTTAGCCCCCAGTACCAGAGGCATACGTGTGTGTGTCTGTGTTTGTGTGTGCCACAGCTCAGAACCAGAATTTTTCAGTGACGGAAAAGATTAAATGCTTCTCGGCCCCCTTTTCATGTAGTAGAAAATATTAGCCCAAACACAGTATCTCTGTGTACTTTACATTTTTGCAGAACTGTTAAGTGCTGACTGGATGATTTTTTATTTTTTTTGCCTTTTGTTTCTCTTCTGGGTCCCTGTGTTTAAGCAAAACTAACAGCCTTATCTAATTCAGCACTGGCAGTTGAAGATTTTTTTTTAATTTTTTTAAAGGTTTTAAAAAGTGTTTTCAGTGTGTACTGGTTGGGAGATGTTTCCCAAAGCCAAATACAAAGACACTAGAAAAATGGACTGTAGGCCTCATTTTTACAGATTTGAAATAAACAAAACAAAACAATGAAGCGTGAATTGGACAATTGGACTGCTTGATTGGGGCAAAAACATGGGTAATGCCTCTTAAGGTGACACTGACCAAACAAATGTTTTTCAGAAGTCTAATTTGTCTCCCTCTGCTCTGGACTACCAGGCTGCTGCTGACTTCGCTAAGGCCAACCTGCCAGATGCCCTGCGCCAGCAGCTGCTGACCTACGAACGGGAAAAAGAGCGAGATAGAGAAAAAGACAAGGAGAAAGATGACAAGAAAGAGAGGGTCAGCCTATCCTATCCGTCCATCCTGGAGCACCAAATACTGACGCTGGACAGAGAAATGCTGGACAAGCTTTCTGCCACTTACAATGAAGCAGGTGTGTATCTGTTCAGCAGAACGAATGCACGATAAACTGATGATATTTAAGTTTTGGTTCTTATTCCAGGTGTGTTCTGTTTTTTGTTTGCCCAGGCGAATTTAAAGCCAAGTAAAATTATGCATACGCTCTGTTTGCTGAATCATATAAGTATGGATTTTCATTCCTGGAGACATCAGAAAGGACTAAGCGTGTTAAATGTCCCTCAAAATGCAGCATTCAAAACCAGTGTTTTCATGTCTAGTGTTTCACCTGACAGTAGTTGAAGAGTGACTCTCAGCAGCCCAAGGCCTTGCTTACTCAGCTGTTTAAATACGAGTTTATCCTCGCAAGGCTTGTAGTAATTATCTGTGGAGGGAGCTAGGAGGGGAAATACGATAGAGATAGTGATGGATGGAAAAAGTTAGAAGAGAGGGCAAATGGAGGGATACTTGTGTGCAAATGGATCATTGTTCCAGTGGAGAGGAAAAGGGGCTCAGTATTGCAGACAAAATAAGGGAGAACAATGAATACAAATCAGGGTCAACGACAAAAGGTGATGTTTGTGCTCGGTTGGAAAAGAAAAGAGACGTGGAGGCGTCATTCATAAACGGACTGAACTTTCCTCCAGGTTCACATCATAGCAAATTTAACCAGAACAAGAACACATGTGAACTGGAGACTGAATTGTTTCTTTCTACACCAACATAATTAAATTATTGATCATGAAGGAGGAGGGGGAGTTCTCAAGCCGCAAGAACTCAGCATTCTTCAGAGAAGGTCATTTTTCCCACCAGTGATCTGATTAAACTGACTTTTAGTTGAGGTAGTTCATAGAAGAGAGCATTCACAGCAAATATGTTTACATGGACAGGTTTTTAGTGAACTAAAAATAAAAAACATAATCTAAATATTGCATATTAATTTCGACAATAGCTTGTTTAAGCCATAATCAATTAATGAAATTATAGGGCACCCGTTAAATTTAATGGTAGAACATGTAAAAATGCACACCAAAATTACAGCACTAAGCAAATTCCAATGCATTTGTGACATCTTAACCTTTTGACAGCAAATTAAAGTTTCACAGCTTCTGCATTAGCTTAGCTTGGGCATATTTGGTACTTTTCTTCTTCTTCTGATGCTTTGACAAGATCTGGCAACGCCAACTCAAGTGGAGCTCAGTGCTGAATAGAAAGATTTCGGAACAAAGACGGCAAATTTTTAAGGCGCGTAAGTTCCTATAAAGTAATGCCAGTGATGTGTCGTTTTAGGGATATAATTTAGACTTGTGGAGAACACAAATTTCAGGTTCAGACAGGTCTTGCAAAGCAACTCAGAGAAGTAAGGAGCCGGTTTTAAACCGTCCCTAAAGTCAGTAAACAAATATTAAACGTGGTTATTCATTACACATTAACGTGCCGGTTGTAAAACATTCTTCACTGTTCCTGTAAGTCACTACCCTGCTAGTGTGTGACTCTCCTCCAGTGAGTTAACTTGTGATGATTGTCCCGTTATGGAAGGTTGGACCAAGCCTGTATTTAAGGAAAGCTTCCGAAGAATTAGTATAAGAAGGAAATGTGACTGCGAATAATTAGATTGTAAGTCCGTGCAACAGTGTGCGGCCTAAATTAAAACGGCAACATGCGACTGGTAAATGAATAGAGCCCAGTCTGGAGGCGACAGCTGATAACAACCTCTCTGAAACCAGGTCCCGCTGCTTTTCGTCTCTCATTTGCATTCCCCTCTTCTTTCCTGCTGCCATATTTCTGGCTGGTGTCGCTCTCACAACGTCCGCCAAGTAAATCTGCATGAAATGCTGAATTCATTCTCCAAGGCACCTCTATTTCTCACTTTTTCATCACATTCTGCACACTGCCTCTCTTCTTACTTTTACATTTATGTATTCAGCAGATGCTTTTATCCTAAGCAAATTACAAGAGCATACATTTGGGAGATACATTTATGAAGGTTGAGGCTCAAAAGATAAAGTCAAAGTCAAACATCATCAACTCCCATATCCTCAAGTGTAAATGTTAGACATTCAGAGGTTGGATTTGTAATGGATCTTTCGCCAGTGTCCAAAAAAGATTTGCTGATGTGGTAAAGGTTGGGCATTCACGTCCCAGAATCTAATTCAACTATCGTGTCCTTTTAAGTGCACGGCTCCCAGCTTTCTGTTGGTATAGGGGACCAAAATTGAGATGGCAAGGAGCGAAGGGTGAGGGAAAGAATGCAGAGATAAACTCTAAATTCAGCTACTTTACTCCGGGACAGCAGCAAATCTGTTTATCCTCCAGTTCATTTATCCCTCCGTTTATCAGCAAGCGCAAAGGCTTGAAAGGAATAAGGCAGAGATGGGACTTTAATTCAATGCCCAAGAGCTTAGAGTATATTATGGACACAGTCTTAATGCTGTGTGGTATTCTGTTAACCGTCATGTGGTTTATGGACATGTCTCAGCACCTTTACAAGCACAAGTATGTGGACAGCGGTGTGTTCACACAACTGTAAGCACCAGGTGCTGAAAGGCTGGAAGCTGAGTACAGCAGGTCATAATGACTAGATTAGAATCAGTATCGTGATATTTGTTGAAATATGCGCAGAATTATTTTGGAAGAAATATTTCAGGAAATATTTTGGACTCCAAATATTTTCACAAAAACAAATAAATACCTGGAAAAAGTCATTTTTCCATGCAGAATATAATCTATCTATCTATCTATCTATCTATCTATCTATCTATCTATCTATC